CGCTACAGCGCACGCGAGTCACTGCGCGCACAGAGGAGGCTTGAAGCGACTGCTGCTGCTGGTGGCGGCGATGGGGGAAAGAGGTGAGCGTGTGGGGGCGGGCAGCATGTCTTGACTCGGCTGTTTACCCAGTGTGTGTGAGCTGTTTACCCCCCCAACCTCCCTCCACCCCCCATCTTTTCCCTCTCCCCACGTGAATGTCTACACCACTGTCACTGCCTGCGACCTCACTGGCACTGCCTGCGACCTCACTGGCACTGCCTGCGACCCCACCAATGCGATGACTACTGTGATGCTTTACTCCCCATCCCATCCCCTCTTCCCCCCCCCCCTCTGCCTCCCTCTCCCCCCCTCTCCCTTCCCCCCCATCAGGTACCACGTGCATGTATACACCAATGGTACAGCCTGTGACCTCGCTGGCGCCTAGAATTTTCAAATCGATTGCTGTGTGGGACTGCTTTGCCCCACCCATCAACCCCTCCCCACCTCTACAGGTACCACATGCATGTTTACACCAATGGCACAGCCTGCGACCTCACTGGCGCTGGGTGTTATGTGTGCTGTAATGCTTTGCCCCCCATCCCCTCCCCCCCTCTCCCTTCCCCTCTCTCTCCCCCACCCCCGATCAGGTACCACGTGCATGTGTACACCAATGGTACAGCCTGCGACCTCACTGGCGCTGGCCGTCGCACCGAGGTGCGTAAATGGGTGGGGAGGTAAGTGGATGGGTGGGAAGGTAAGTGAATGGGTGGGGAGGTAAGTGAATGGGTGGGGAGGTAAGTGAATGGGTGGGGAGGTAAGTGAATGGGTGGGAAGGTAAGTGGATGGGTGGGGAGGTATGAGTGGGGATTAAAGGGGACGGGTGGGGAGGTAAGTGAATGGGTGGGTAGGTGTGTGAGTGGGTGGTGTGTTAAATGACTGGGTGGGGAGGTGTGCGCATGTGTGGAGAGGGACATGCAGGGGTGGGGAGGTGTGAGGTACGGTGAGCATGCTGTAGTGACAAGGTTGTCATGTCGTGTGTGAAGGGCGCACAGACGTTCTTTGGGTCAACTCTAACCCCTGACCACTCTACACGCCTTTCAACTCCTTCATATCCTTGCCACTCTACATTCCCTCGTCCCCCGGTCTCCTCATTGCTCCCCTCGTGCTCTCATCCCTCAGGTGCGGCACGTGTGTGAGGAGGGCGCGCAGACTTTCATGGGGACAATCAAGGAGGGACCCACGTGTGAATACGAGCTGGCACTGCACACCAACCTGCTCTGCTCCCACCCGTACGTTCACCACCTGGGCTGCTGGGCTGGGATGAAGGCTGTGGGTTGGCGTGTAGTGAAGGTTGTGGCTTCAGGGATGCAACCACCACGTGTGAATACGAGCTAGCTATGCACACCAACCTGCTCTGCTCCCACCCGTAGGTGCACTACTTGTGGTTCTAAGCCTGTTTGCTGGTTGCAGGCTGCGTTGAAGGTTGGTTGGCATGTAGGTTGTAGCTCTATTGAAATCACTTTTGAGAATTCTCAAAAGGTTGAAGCTCTTGGGCTGATGTCACCACGTGTGAATACGAGCTTGCACCCGTACGTTCACCACTTGGGCTGCTGGGCTGGGGTGTAGGCTCTAGGCTGGCGTGTAGTGAAGGTTGTGGCTTCAGGGATGCAACCACCACGCATGAATACGAGCTAGCTTTGCACACCAACCTGCTCTGCTCCCACCCGTACGTTCTTCTGGGTTGGGGTGGGGTGTAGGCTGTAGGGTAGCTTGTAGCGTAGGTTGTGGTGGCTTCAGGGGTGTAGGCCGTATGCACCACGTGTGAATACGAGCTTGCTCTGCACACCAACCTGCTCTGCTCACATCCGTACGTCCCCACTTGGGTTGTTGGGCTGGTTAGTTTGTAATAGGGAGGGGGGGCACCTGTAGGCTGAGTGAGCTTCACGGCTGCAATACCCACTTGGGCTGCTTTGCTGGTTTGTTTGTAGTTTTTGGATTGTGGTTTCTAGCTTCAGGGCTCAAGTCACCGCTGTGTGAATACTACCTGGCTCTGCCTGCGCACCAATTTGCTCTGCCAGCCTCTTCCTTCCGCACGGAGCGGAATTTTTCTTTTGGAGAATACCATAAAAACAGGTGCAGCAGCGCATGCACGTCATCAACTGCCACGAGTCCTGTTTTGAGGCGCCTCAATTACACACTTGCCCGTCTTCCGCCCATTCCTCCCCCCCTCTCTCCCCTCTTCTTCCTCCCGCAGCCTCTTCCGCACACTGAGGCAGCCCATCCACTTCATCAACTGTCACCAGTTCCCCTGCGGGGATGTTTTTCTAATTTACTAAAGCTTCGCTCCCTCTTTTACCCCTTTTTTTCTTCCCCCCTTTTTTCCGTTCCCAGCCTCTTCCGCACAGTGAGGCAGCCCATCCACTTCATCAACTGCCACCAGTTACCCTGTGGAGGTGTTTTCGGATTGGCTCAAACCTTTCCTAACAACTGCTCTCATTCATTTTCCGCACATCCTCCCCACCCCCACCTTTCCTGCTGCCCCAGCCTCTTCCGCACAGTACGACAGCCCATCCACTTCATCAACTGCCACCAGTTCCCCACCTCCTCCTCTTCCTCCCACTCCCCCTCCCCCTCTACTTCTGACCCATCTCCTCTCGAAATCCCCTCTCTCGAAGAGGCTGCGGAGGGGACTGGGGAGGGGGGTAGCCGGGGCGAGGTGGAAAAGGAAGGGGTTGCGGATGGAGAGGGGGAGAAGGGAGAGGGAGTGGAGGGTGGTGGTGGTGGTGTTGTGGTGGAAGGGGAGGAGGATGGGGTGCTGTCGTTTGTGTACGAGGGTGAGGAGGAAGAGGAGGAGCTAGTGGAGGTAGATCCAGAGGTGGAGGAGATAGAGGAGAGCCTCAGTGCTCTGTGACTCACGTCATGTGATCTCAGAATCCGTATAAGGGAGAGGATGATGGGGAGGAGCTGGTGGAGGTGGTACCAGAGGTAGAGGAGATTGGAGTGGAGAGAGCCTTAGTGCACTGTGAATCATGTGCTTTGTCAGGCTCTCGTTCATCAGGACTTGTGGTTTTTGTGAGGACATGTAGCATTTGTGTCTCACTGAGATGGCTTGCGGTATTCTTCTGAATATATAAATTTATTCAATTAATCAGATTCCATTGATGTGCAGTGTATGTATACAAGGGCACTACAAGCTTCTTACACATTGAAGGATGCAGATATGAATGATGTGCTTAGTTGATAGGATTGGCATCAATAATAAAACTATCATGAGCACGATGACAAGCTGGCGTCAGCTAGTGAAAGCATCACGAAGAGGGGAAATGGACAAGAATTATTTAAACCACAGTGCACCAATGCAATTGACATAAACTGCTGCTGAAAGCATCAGTGGTGAGGAAATGGACAAGGGATCATGAAACATTGTAAGGTGATGAAACAGGCATGCGAGATACCTGAATGGATCATGTGGCGAGGAGATTGACAAGGGACCATGATCGCAGCATAAGATGATGACATTGGGAAGAGATACCGTACCTGAAAGGCTAATGTGGCAAGGAGACTGGCAAGGGATCATGATAGCACAGTAAGATGGTGAACTGGGAGTGAGATACCTGAAAGCACAATGTTCTTAGGATCTTGACAAGGAATCTTTTGATCATTGCAAGATGACATTGGCATGAGATACCTGAGAGAGCACATGCTAAGGACATTGACACGGGATCCTGAAATTAATGAAAAATGATGAAATCGGCATGAGCTTTCAGAAAGAACAGGTGCTGGTGAATGGCATGAGATTTTGAATGTAGCATGAGTGGATGCCAGTCGCATGAGATGCTAAGATCAATCATTTGGTGCGATTGAGGCTGCTCACCTCACAGCATCTGTCATGGCTAATCCTTAGTTGACAAACGGAGTGGGGAGAAAAAGGGGATGGGAGTGGGAAGCAATATGGATAGGTATGAGGGAAGGGGAAGAGGATAGAAGAGGAATTTTCGTTTTTGCTCAGAAAACGCGCAAACATGGCAAGTACGTAGTACCATAAATCCTCTCAAATCAGAGCACTCCCACCAGCCATCCCTCTCTCCCACCCAGATACCACTCCCTCACAGCAACATGATGAGATGAAACTGGTACAAGCCACTGAAACCATCATGAGCTCATGTGAGCAATAAATGATGAGCTAATGAAACGGTAATGACCGGGTACAAGAGTGATGAGCTGGTAAGACTTGCATGAAAAACTCAACGCAAACTGACAGCTGGAAAGGAAAACACAGCTGGATACCTTACAGCTTTAACCATCTTCACTGTTCACGTTTCAGAGGGATGGGAGGAGAGGAAAGGGGGAGGGATGCGTGTAGATGGTGATATGCTATTCTAAGGAGACAACAGAGGGGGGGGGAACTGTAGATTGCAATGGCTCATGATTGAATGAGACTAACATTAACCACTGAAAGTTTTATGAAACGTGAATGACAAGCTAGTCTGAAAGAATCTTGAGCCGATTCAATCGGAATGAGACAGGGAACGAGTTACAAGCTGATAAAACTGGGAAGAGAGATGAAATGAAAGCATGAGGACCTGAACTGGAAAGACAATGAAACTGAAACTGGAATAAAACAGGTGCGAGATACTCACCAAACTGAAGTACTCACCATGATGATACGACTGGAAGAAACCAAATCCTGGTTAAACGTAATCATACGCATGGTTATAAACTCAAAGAGATGATAGGAGGGAGAGAAACAAGAGAAAATACAACCATTGACCATGTGACAATGAGCATTCCTTGCCACACCAATACACCCACCAACCATTCCTCCCTTCCATACACCACTCAGTCACAACACACAACCACAGAATGCACATAAACATCATAAATATAAATATAGCATCAATGATTACACATTCCTAATCTAGAACACGATACAGAACTATCTAGAAATTTTTACTATTCAAGAGCTAAGCATGTGCATGTGTGCTGCAGCAGCGGATCCAAGGCCATGCTCTTCCCCCTCATGCCATGCATCCCCATTCCAGCTCACCACATTCCTCCACCTCTCCTCCCATCTCTCCCACAACACCCTGCAAGCAGAGTGGAAAAAGGGGCAGTTCCCTCCATGCGCCTCCCTCTAGCCCCCACCAGCCATGCCATCTCACCCACCACACTCGTCCCCTCACATCCCCATTGGACACGCCCCAGATCTCATCTGCTGCTGCTGTGTTGCTTTTTTTTTTTTGTTTTTTTTTGTTTTTTGCACTCTCTCACTTGGTTGTTACCTTTCCTGGCTTGGGAATACCACTTGACGTCACTCCTACTACGGCCCTCCTTGGTGTCGCATTGCTTGCTGGTCTCGGGATTCTACTTGCGCCAACAACACCCGCCTTCGGGCTGTGGGGACCCGCTGCAGCTGGTACTGCTGGTGCTGCTGCTGGGCTGCTTGCACCTGGAACCTTCACACCTCCTGCAACAGTCGCCTTGGCTGGCGCCGCCTTAGCTGGCGTTGCCATAGTTGGCGTCACCTTAGCTGGCGCCGCCTTACTTGGCGTCACCTTAGCTTGCAACACCTTAGCTGGTGTCACTTTGGCTGGCGTCGGCTTAGCTGGCGTCGCCTTGGCTGGCGTCACCTTAGCTGGCGTCACTTTGGCTGGCGTCGCCTTAGCTGGCGACGCCTTTGTTGGCGTCGCCTTAGCCGGCGTGGCTTTGACTGCTGCAGCTGTGACGGTCGCTTGACCGCTCTGCACCGCTCTGGGCTTCACAGCAGCAGCGGTACCCATCACATCCCTGGGCCTGGGCTTCTTGCTGGGCGGCTTAGCCACAGGCTTGGGTCGCAGAGGGGAGAAGCCGAGCGACGCACGGGGGGAGCGCAGAGCGCACTGCTCTTTCTCGCTGAAGCGCCCCACGCGCCATGCAATCGCGCGCCGCCACATCTTCACGATGTTAACACGGCGAGTGGACATCACGCTGCTGCTGCTGCACGCCGCGGCGTTCACGGCACGGCTCGCGGATCCAACAAGCGACGGGGTGGTCAGAGATGCCATCGCACTAGGAGCGACAGGCTAATCGCACAGGCGGAACGAGTGGCGAAGCTAGGAGCTGAAGTCTCGTGGAGGTAGAAGGTCAGCCTTCGGAGTTAGAATGAAACTTGCAACTGATGTGGTGGTGGGAATGAGGCGAACGGGTGGGCTTTCTAGTGTTAGGGAAGGGAGGAGGTTGCAAGGAAGAGTGGATGGAGCTCGGGTGGAGACTCGAAACTCTCGAGGCTGGGGAGGAAGCAAGCATGCTGCCCGACGTGGAAAAAAGCACTCCAAAAAGTACTGACACAGCTCTGTGATTGGATCCGAGAGCAAGAGAGGTCTAGCCAACCAATACGAGCTGTCCGAGTCCCCGGAACCTAGAAGCTCGGAGCTGTCGGAAGGACAACATTGCGACTCGCGCAACTGCAATCGAGGAGTTTCTGGGCAGCAAGCTCAGGCGTCGCTGCCCGCAAATGTTTACGGGTCGCGTTTCCGCTAAACACGCCCGCTGGCCATAAACTAGGTTCGTCAACGAAAAGACAAGTCCTACTAGCTGTTGATTGGATGGCGGGGTGAAAATGGACGGAAGTCGAGGCTGCTCGAGAATGTCGCCGTTCCCTCATTGTGGTTCGTGAACACTGGAACCGCCGCCCCACAGCTTCGGCGAGCGCGACAGAGACGGACTTCATGCTGCGTCCTAAATTGACTTGGGCCACAGCCGCTCCCGCCACCAAACCAGACCAGACGCGGAAATCATAGCTCTTAGGGAACTCCCGTTCAGTCCCCAACAATTTGGCGAGCTCTGATAAAAGCAGGGATGCGATAAAAGCAGGGTATATTCGTAGAACGTAGTGTTTTAGTTGATTTCTTTTTACAGAAAATAATGTTATAGCTCATTGCCATGTTCTTCACTCATGCCAAGTTCCTGCTAGATTATTCAATCCAGTCTCGGGTGCAGGTACAAACAATGTTGGTCAGATGAATAACGGGAATACAAAATTTGCCTCCATCCAAATTCTATGGCTCGTAGGTATGAGGTCATCACAGCTAAATACAGGTTAGAACAAAAGCATGTACACAAAGGAAGCCAGCCGGCAACTTAAAGCCAGGGTCTCAAGTAGAGCGTTTGGGGTCAACTGCAAAGCACTTGGCGGGAGTGGTTACTGTGTGACTCAAACCGAAAACGCGGTTTGGTTGGAACGACAGAAACCTACCCTGCGACAAACAAAACACACCAAGCGACTGACCCTAACAACCAACTGGTCGCAAACACACCACGCCACTCCCACTCACAAATGCAACTGCACAACAAGCAGCGCCTTACATGAGACTACGACTACGACTCCTCGATAGCAATCACGCCACCTCACACGCGGTTAGCACAGCACCCCACGCTCATAAACTACCAACGACCAGCCCGACGCGCACACGTTTTGTCCACTACCCCGCGCAATAAACACATTAGAAATCGTCGTCTCCGAGGCGCCCTGCCAACAATGCGAGACGGGAGGCGCCGTAGGCGCAATGCACACGGGTCATCCCACCTTCGCCCTAGGAACGAAAACCAAGGTTCCCACGAGGGCCACGTGCAGGTACGCGACGACACGACGAGCCATGGTCGACCACGCCTATAGTCGGGGGTACATCAGCTCAAAGGACCGCCACACACGGAGTCCGCGACCAGGGTCCGACACATTGGCATGAGCTTACGCCATGCAGCAGGATGAGTTCCCATATCGCGCCAGACAAGCATTACGGATGCGAGATAGCGAAAAACGGTGACACAACAAGCGTGGAAGCCGTGCAAAAAGGGCGATGCAGGGTTGATCTCGGACATTAGTAGCCTCAAAACGGGAAGTGCTGCACGCATTTGACAACACGGCGCGCAAAACAGGCCAGCGCCGCGTAGGAAAAGCATAGCGACGCCCATATCTTGACAGCGCAAACAAAAATCCCACGTCGCCGCAGACAGGAGGGCAGCGCGGCGCATACGAGGGCAGCGCCGCGCATATGAGGGCAGGGCCGCGCATTAGAGGGCAGCGCCGCGCAAACCAGGGACGCCCCACGCATATGAGGGCAGCGCCGCGAATGGACAGGGTAGTGCGGGGAAGGGGAGGCCAGCGGAAATGCACACGAACAGGGACATCATGAGACCCATGCGCTGTGCAGGGATGGCCAGCATGTGCTGTGGCATGAAGTGGCCATCACACGTCTAAAGGGGAGTGGGAGCTGTAGCGTAGCGCGCCACAAATTCCCTTAGCCAGCCTGGCCACACATTCACCACATGGGCAATCTCACATACAGATAACACGCAAACGGGCACTCACAAAGCCAGCACACTCACACCGCCCCAACCCTATCTCATATTTGCCTCCTTCCCATGCTCAAATACCCACTACTCGCACTTGGCCGTTCCCCACCCTCCTCACTCGAACTCCATTACCCTACCCTCTCACATTTCCCTACCAAGCACTGTGACAATCCCCTAACCTGCCCTCTCTCATTCCCCGTGCTTGCACTCTCACCTTCCCCTACCCTTCACACACACAACCCCCACCCTTGATTCCCACATTCCCCTACCCGCCACTACCACATTCCCCTACCATTCACACCCACATTCCCCTACCCTGCACGGTGACATCCCCTTACTCTTCAGTCCCACATCCCCTTTCCCATCACTCCCACATCCCCTTACCCATCACTCCCACATCCCCTATTCGTGACTCCCACAACCCCTTACCCTTTACTCCCACATCCCCTGACCCTTCACTCCCACATCCCCTTTCCCTTCACTCCCACATCCCCTACCCCTCACTCCCACATCCCCTATTCGTGACTCCCACATCCCCTTACCCTTCACTCCCACATCCCCTATTCGTGACTCCCACATCCCCTTACCCACCAATCCCACATCCCCTTTCCCTTCACTCCCACAACCCCTTACCCTTCACTCCCACATCCCCTACCCCTCACTCCCACATCCCCTATTCGTCACTCCCACATCCCCTTACCCTGCACTCCCACATCCCCTAGTCGTGCCTCCCACATCCCCTTACCCACCAATCCCACATCCCCTGACCCTTCACTCCCACATCCCCTTTCCCTTCACTCCCACATCCCCTACCCCTCACTCCCACATCCCCTAGTCGTGACTCCCACATCCCCTTACCCTGCACTCCCACATCCCCTTACCCTTTACTCCCACATCCCCTGACCCTTCAATCCCACATCCCCTTACCCTTCACTCCCACATCCCCTGACCCTCACTCCCACATCCCCTATTCGTGACTCCCACAACCCCTTACCCTTTACTCCCACATCCCCTTACCCTTCACTCCCACATCCCCTTACCCTTCAATCCCACATCCCCTCACCGTGACCCCCACATCCCCTTACCCTGCACTCCCACATCCCCATACCCTTTACTCCCACATCCCCTTGCCCTTCACTCCCACATCCCCTTACCCTTCAATCCCACATCCCCTATTCGTCACTCCCACATCCCCTTACCCACCAATCCCACATCCCCTTACCCTTCACTCCCACATCCCCTGACCCTCACTCCCACATCCCCTATTCGTGACTCCCACAACCCCTTACCCTTTACTCCCACATCCCCTTACTATTCACTCCCACATCCCCTTACCCTTCACTCCCACATCCCCTTACCCTTCAATCCCACATCCCCTATTCGTAACTCCCACATCCCCTTACCCTGCACTCCCACATCCCCTTACCCTTCACTCCCACATCCCCTTACCCTTCAAGCCCACATCCCCTATTCGTCACTCCCACATCCCCTTACCCACCAAACCCACATCCCCTTTCCCTTCAATCCCACATCCCCTTACCCTTCACTCCCACATCCCCTTACCCTTCACTCCCACATCCCCTAACCGTTCACTCCCACATCCCCTTACCCTTCACTGCCACATCCCCTTACCGTTCACGCCCACATTCCCCTATCGAGTACTCTCACATGAAGTACATTGCACTCTCACCCACCCTCCTGCCCCATAGTCTCAAGCTGTCATGCCCTGCTCCCGCACAATCCCCGACCCTGCAGTCCCACGATCCCTCATGCCATGCAGGGGAAGCATTCACATCTCTGGTGGCATCCCGTTCCCATGAGCTGGGGTCGTCTCACCAGCACACTCCCTGTCTTTCCAGCGTCCCCGTCCTCTCACATTCCCTCCTGTTTCGCACTCTCACACTCCATCCTGGGCCGCACCCTCGTATTCGCCCCTGTCTAGCACTCTCACATTCCCTTGTGTCCAGCACTCTCACATTCCCTTGTGTCCAGCACTCTCACATTCCCTTGTGTCCAGCACTCTCACATTCCCTTGTGTCCAGCACTCTCACATTCCCTTATGTCCAGCACTCTCACATTCCCTTGTGTCCAGCACTCTCACATTCCCTTGTGTCCAGCACTATCACATTCCCTTGTCTCCAGCACTCTCACATTCCCTCGTGTCCAGCACTCTCACATTCCCTTGTGTCCAGCACTCTCACATTCGTTGGTTGTGGGGCACTCTCACATACCCATACGACCCCGCTCTCACCTTCCATCTGGTCTCGTAGTCACATATTTCCTCCTGCACACTCACTTTCCGTCCTACGCCGCACTCTCACCTTCCCTCCTGCTCGCACTCTAACATGCCCTCTTGGTCGCACTCTCACATTCCAGGACGTCCTGCACTCTCACATTCGTGAGACATTCCCCTACCCAACGCTCTAACATTCCCCTTCGCCTTCAGTAAAACAATTCACATCCATGCACACACACCATTCCCTTCCCTGCAATTCTAACTTATCTTCCCATTCTACATCATGGAACCAACACCCCAACACCCATTCCGCCATCATGAGGGCCCCGACCAGGAGAACGGCATTGTACCCGATGAACATCCTTACAAACCAGCCATGGATGCACTCAAGCAACGCACCGTTACCATTGGGACCCACATGAAGATACCCATGGCCCTCATGCGATGCGGTCTGACAGCTCTCAGCGGTGGAAACCA